TGACTGACAGACAACCTCTCCAGTTGATCAACTAACATTATCACTTCTTGATACTAACAACAACAACAAAACAATGATAATAATAATAATAATACTAATAATAATAATGCATATACCTGTTCCTTCTCTATTGTCATTGAAACTTCATTTAAACGTAGACTTAGTGACAACTATGAAGGTATAAACACATATACATGTATGTACATGTACTACATGTGTATAATAAAGGGAATTCGGTCTGATTTTTGAGAAACTTAAAATATTGTAAAAAATCCAATTATGATTGGAATCTGCTCAAACTTTCTACACAACATAAGTACATGTATCAGTGAACACAGTACATTATTGTGTATTTATTTACTTGAGGGTGAACACGTCCGGTTTGAGTGGTACCCTTCAGTTTAGCTACACCAGACAATGGCTTTAACACTGTAACAACAAAATAATCAATGACAGATAAGCTGTATAAAAATAAATGAATATACATGTACATGTACACCATACATGTACTGTAGGTGTTCTCACCATAAAAAAGCATGCAACTACGAATGCATGTGAATGCATTTGATTGGTAAAACTAAAATACACATGTAGACACACACATGTGTACATGCACCTAAAATTAAAATGTACATGTATACTTGTACATGTAACTACAATGTACATGTACATGTATATAAACATCTAAATTTAAATTCAAAATTAATTCATCATACAACTAACAGTAGTTTATTGAAGGTAGTTTCTTCCCTTGTCTGGCTATGTCTCTCTTCAGTATGTCCTTCCATTCCTTTGCAGTACCTATCAGCCTGTCAGTAGGATTCCAATACAGACCAAGACAGTTCAGCTTGAGCAACTACAATAATAAATCAATAGGAGTCCATCTGTTACAGTCCAGTAATGTAGAATTTAGCGATTGGAGTAAAATCTGCAGCTTTAAATTTGTGCAGTTACTATACACATGTATTAGCAATATACAAGTACCCAATATTACTAGTAAAAGTCCAAAGTATTACTGTTACTGCTATCAAAAGATACTGTGTAGAATTACAGATACAGATACATGTGTACATTACATAAAGATACATGTACATATACATGTATACATTTGTAACATATGCACTGCACTATTGTCATACTATATAGATTGTACTACATGTGGGCAAACATACATGAGTATTATATATATTAACTTGGCAGACTGATTCGGTAATGAACCATTTACAGCCAATTCTACAAATGACTCAGAATATAATCAACATTAGGAGAGCTAATACTAGGAATTACAAGTATAGAATGTGATAATAACCACCTAAATAGTGACAATACATGTACACACATGTACGTGTACTGTAAATGCATAATGCTACACGTGTATATGCACTAAACATGAATTTGTGGAAAACACAAAATAATATTGATTTGCAAGCAATTGATCGCAATTTCATCTTATACATCTACTATGTACTATATATGCACAGTTTGCACACCATTAGTCATTCCTTATACTGCTGTCATTTATTTACTTAGTACATGTACAATGTAGAATGGAGTACCTTGAATATTAGTGAAGAAGAGTCATCAGGAGCAGGAACAATGGTCCAATTAGAATCAGTGCTCTGTATTAAATGATAAAGAAAAGATAATACTGAATAGAGTCCTTTGGGGCCTAAAATGATAATAGTTCAAAGTCTATGTCAACAGGAGCCCATATTGTAAAAACACTCAGCTGCTGATGAAGATAAAAAAATATCCCTGATTAAATACAAGAAATGTACATGTATAGAGTGTATATGTACATGTACATGTACTACAGTATAGCAGGAAATTTTGGAGAAGAATTAAATTTGGCAAATTGCTAAATTTTGGTGATTCATGGATTTTACATGTAATTTGGCAAAGGCAAATTAGAGGCCATGTGTCATTGAGGCTGAGCATGCGTATAATGGCTCAAAATGGCAGGTTTATTTTGATGAATGGCTATCAAAATGTCAAATTCACCAAATTTAATTCCCTCTAAAATTTCTCATAATATGGTACATGTATGTGTAAAAATAAATTTGTGAAAAAATGTAAATATATTCCAATGTAAATTACTAGACCATCATGTCATACACATCACTAATTATACATGTAACTACCATTGAAACAAAAATGAAATCATTACTACTATTACTATCACATACATTTACTGCCATAGTGTGATTTAATACAATAGACAATGAAATTACTCACTACCAGACATATCATAACAATTACATGTAACTCAAACACATACTAATTACTAATTACTACTGAAGGTTAGAATCGTAAATTAAGCATAAAAACAAGGGAAGCAACTTCATTACTACATATGTGTATTAAATACGAAATAAAATGTGTACCATACACTCACCTTTATCATAAGACAGTCTAAACTAATTCCAAAGGAGAAGCACTTGCCAGGAACAGTAGACTATATATACAGTACATGTGGTTATTGTTAAATGTATTTTTAGAGAAGAAGACTCACATTGTCTTCATAGCGTATGTGAATATCTTCAACTGATAGCTGGACATTGCGAATGATCTGTGTGATTAGTTTCTCTACAAAGCCAGGATCTTGCTCCTTCTGTAGTGAGTCTAAAAAGGGAAAAGAGAAAGAATTAAGAAAGAGAGACAAAGAGAGAGGAGAAGAATAGAAAGAGGAACAGGAGGAGAAGGAAGGGGAGAGAGAGAGAGAGAGAGGGAGAGAGAGAGGGAGGGAGGGAGTAAGAGAGAGAGAGAGAGAAATCCAGCCATCACCTTTAGCCTTTGCTGTTCTTGCATCTTCAATTGCTTTCAGTTGTCCTTGCTTCTTTTCTCTTTCCTCTTTTAATATCTTTTCTCGACTGAACGATATCCCTAAACAAAAATATGTACATACATGTACATGTACATGTATACGTACGTGTCTAATAAATTAATAATAAAATTCATGCACTATAAACACGGCAAACATTAAATTCAATTTTACCATGGTACAAACATGTGTACTATTAGTTAAAAATAGTAGCAGGATATTGAATAAAAAAGGAAAATTAAAGCAACTAAAATTTCTACACGTACATTTAACTTTCTATATTAATCATAAATTTCTTGACACCTAGAATTATATTTTTTAAATGTAGAATGGTACTAAGCAATGATGTACATATTATAAAACTAAATACACTTTTAAGCTTAAAAACTAAAGTGATGTGCATGTAAAAGAACAAAAACTAATGTCAAGTTACCTGAATCAGGTCCGGCCACAATATAAACACCTTTAACATTCACTATAACTGGCTCTGTGTAGAGGTTCTTCCATGGGATCTTCAAATGAAGCTCATCTAGTGTACATACAGTGTAGAGTATACACAAACATGTATTATTTTAAAGAATTTAATGTAATACACTGGACATGAAACTACTTGTACAGATATTATTGATATGGAATATTTTGCATTGTAATCTGGTGAAAACATTAATTCCTAAATCAGCAAAATAATAACTAATCGTTCTTTGGTAATTTGATTCTTAATTCTAAAAGCATTATAGCTTATAGTAACTAAATTTATTCCCTCTACAATACAACGTATACAGTATTCAGTGTACAATCAACACACAAAGCATGGCACAACATGCAATAGATTTTTTGACTCTGGTAGACTTAGACGACCTTTTGGATAGCAAGACTAATAATTATTGGCTAACAGTGCATAAAAACAAACAAGCTACAATATTCAAATCAGATGAATATTGCACAGTAGTTCCTATGCATACTACATTTTGTAAATTCCAGTACTAGACACCTTAATAAACCATCTAATCCAAAAATGGCACCCAATTTTTAGATGTAGGTGGATACAGTACAGGTAACATTATTCATACATTTCATTATTCATAGTCTAGAGGCCTAAAGCATGCTTCATACTGAAAACTCACCAATGTGCCCATTGAATATTCTTATTGGTATATCAAACTGAGTCTATAAGATAATGATAATAATGATAGGCCCATATCAGTAGGATTACATACCAGTGCAGTGTCCTTGAGTTGCAGATTCTTTAAACTCACTTCACCTAATTCAATTTTGAAGGTTAAAAGGGAAGGAAAGTTTTAATACAACGGGCGCGCTGCCTCGCATGCTACAGCAAAAATACTCACCACTCCATACGCCAACACTCAGCTGAGACGAGTCCAAGTTCTTTAAGTAAGGCCCCAAAAAACGGTTGAGGACACTCACCAGTAAGCCTTCAAACACCATTTTTACTAACTGAACCCCACCTACAAAAGGCGTGACTAAAACTAAGACACACGTGGCAGCACGTGTTCAACCTCGCCCATTTCATCTTACCTACACGCCCTTCAATTTAGCTGATTTATCATTTTTCAATGGCTAGTGAAGGAGTAGCACACAAAGCTCTCATTAAGAACTCCTCAAAGTTCAAAGAGTCTGGGCTGGATCCTAAGAAACTAGCTAGTGTTCTGTACAAGAAAGAATTGATAACTCCAGAGGCATATGCCAAAACCACTGATACCAACTCGACTGCTTCTGATGAAGAAAAGCTCGAAATCCTTTATAATAATATTGATGAAAATACTTTGGTAGAAGATGGCTATTTTGATCGTTTTATCAATTGTTTGATGAATGATATTAAAGATGAAAGGTGTACAGCAGTGGCTCAATCAATTAAATCTAGTTATGAAGGTATGATGTTCGTACGTACTTTATGGCACTAATTTTAGCATTCTTTGTTCATTCCAAAATTTTTGCCAAATTTAAATTGATAAAAAATTGTTTAAATTGTTTGGAGGGTTAAATTGATTTCATTGTCTCCTACCATGTGGCAGCAATATGTTTTAATTTGGTGTTGTTTTCCTAAAAATTTCCAACTCATCAAATTTCATCCCTTGCCAATAAATTACACTATACGATATTGCTAATAGTAGCTATTAATGGACATAACTTTACTTCTATCAAAAATTTGATATCATTATTATAGCAGTACATCGGAAATACTAAATAGCACAAAACTCAATTGGCTCAAAATCTGTTTTGTTAAATTACCATTTTCTATCATATTAAATTGATTTTGTGGCCAAATTCTCAATTTGTACTGCTCCACCTAATGCAAACCACAGGAATGTGATACTGCAGAGCGTGTTACAGCCTGCCCCCACAAAATGTTATGCTATGTAGCACTACATTTACAATATTTACCTGATTTTGATCATCATTGAACTTTAAAAATACTTTCAAATTTGGTGTGCCATAAATGTACATGTAGTACATGGTATTTATCTAAAATAGGTAGGAGAGTATTTTTTTGTTTTCTGATACTCTTGATTTGATGTTGAAATTGCAACTATTTTATGAATGCCTTTTTACATTTTGCTAATACATGTATGTACTATGTACATGTACATGACATATCCTCCCCTTTTAACATTTTGTTCATTTAGTTAACAAAGAACTAAGAGGTTTAAGTTGTATTAACTCAGCTCTTTTGTAGATATGGTGGCTCAAAGGAAAGATATTGCTGTGGGTGTGAAGCATCGTTTAAGTGATGCTGCTAAGTATGTGAAAAAGAAAGCAGCTCAGGCTCATGAAGGAGTTAGAGCATTCTCATGTATGTGTTATATTACATTACCTTATGTTGGTAGCTTTCTGTCATCTCATCTCTGACGATAAAATGGCAAATGGTGATTCTATAAAGAAACTGCCAATTTCACCATTTTTGCTTTTTTCTGAGCATGCGCCATGACATGTAGCCACAAAATTGCCAAAATAGAAACTACCGAACAGTAATGGTGTATTTTTTGGTTTAGATGCTGTTGGTGATATAATTGCAAAGGATAAAGTTGAAGGTATCTAGTTTAATGGCAGAGCAAATAATTATATAAATATTTTAGGAAGTTTTGAAGAGGACAGTGATCTTCATGACACCCAAAATGAAGAAGACGAATCACAAAGTAAAAAATAACCAAGTTGTTTAATTTATGTTGTTTGTTATAGAAGAAGAAGTAGTTAAATCTGAAGATGAATCGTCTGATGGTAAAATTCCATTTTATACATGTAACACATAAGAATATACATAATCCACATGCATCATTGAGAGCATTAGTAAACAATGTACATGTATGGCTATCCTTCAAATATTATCAGATTTTGAAGTATGCAGTGTAACTTTATTAGCTGGCTGTGCATACATGTACATGTACATGTGCCTTTGTTTGTCTATTATGAGTTAATGCTAAGAGTGTATGGTATTATAATGGCTTTACACATGGGTATGAGATTATTTCTTATTAATAGCCTATAGGTGCCTTTATTGTTCGAAAACAATCAACCAAGAAGAAGAGCCAGTGCATAGAGCCTGTCTTCCTAATTACCCATTGTGTATAAGGTGTCTTCAAAATGGAAAGAAAGACTCAAGCTATTACTGTGAGCAGTGTCTGGAATATGAACAAGGTACATTATTGTGGGCATTTCCATGTATACGCTGCATGTGAAATAAAACTTTCCATACATGTACAATCTTGTTTGTTGTCAAAGCTCAATGTATTTTGTCTATTGATTATTGTTATGTCGCCAGTGCTATTATTATGGTTATGCTAATATTCTTTATTGTTTACTAGTGTCCATTTGCCATTATTGTTCTGGTGAAACGAATGGCATACCAGTTCACTTTTCATGTCTTGAGAATTATCCGTGGTGCTTGAGATGTATGACACAAAAAAGAGAAGGTGCAAAGTATCTCTGTAAAGAATGTAAACCAGAAAATATTGAAGGTGTGTATACTTTAATTTGTACTATGTATTCACAACAGTATCAATACATTGGTTGTGATTGTTAATTTATAGTACTATAAGTACATTAAATTGCAATATTCTGATCCTTTTACTATTATTACATGTAGATGTACTTGGCTTACCTGTTTAGTAGCTTAAATGGTATGGCATGTTTATTGTACTGTAACTTGCTTACTACTGAATTCCATGTAGCTATACTGTTTGGTCTGTAGTGCATATGTCATCGAATATATTATGGTCAGTACATATGCACACAGAATCCAGCTCTAATCATGTTTTACATTTTTTTATAGCGTTAATTATTTTTATTGTAGTAAATGTTTGTTTGCATTGCTTGGAACCAGTCAATCCAGAAGAGGAACCAGTTCACAAAGACTGCCTACCTAATTATCCATTATGCATTCAATGTCTGACAAACCAGAGAAGTGATACAAGTAACTATTGTGCTCATTGCCTTGTATATGATCAAGGTACATACATGTTTAATTTTGGTACAAAAATCATTTTTTATTATGCATGTAGTATCCATTTGCTATCACTGTTCTGGTCCAACAAATGGTTCACCTGTACATTTTTTGTGTCTTAAACATTATGCCTGGTGCTTGAGATGTCTGTCCCAATGAAGAGATCACCCAAAACTCCTTTGTACATACTGTGAGAAGACTAATCACGAACAAGGTACTGTCGTGGCTTGACCTGGGGAACCAAGAATAATTATAAATAGCTTAAACTATAGCATTTTAGCTTGGGCAGTTTCAAGTATAGTAATGAGTTAGTTACTGTCACCATTTGAGTAGTGTACTTTACTTCTCTCCTAATAATTAATTGTAACTACACTAAAATGTGCATAGGGACATTTGTCTGAAATGTTTTTTACTTGATAGGAAAGTGTTTGGGCTCTATTAAATCTGTAGCATACGTATCTGGTTTGTTTATTGCTTTTATTATTATTATTATTATTATTTTGAATGTAGCAGCAGAAGCCACTATGGATGAATCATTGGCAGAAAATCAGAATGAAAACTTAATAGTCCCTGGTTTGTTTGTAGTCATTATTACAAGGTTTTATATTATTTTATCATTGCAGAGACAGAAGTTAATGCTATTAATCCTGTTTTAAATGATTTAGAGCAAGGTATGTTCAGTTTGCTCACTGTCAACTACTGTATGTGCAATAATAATCTGTTTTGCACATACTGTGAGGATTTTTGTGGGTTTTTTTATGCATGGTCTTAACTTTCATAGTTGATAGTTTACATAGCCTACAAGGGGACTGCACTTTGTGGGTTTTAGATTTGTGGTTTGCCCCAAAACCATAAAACACAAAAATAAATGCCACATCAATAACCCACTCTACAATGTTAATTTTTAGTCAAAGAATCCGTGAAATTGAGCAAATGTTTGCTTCACAGATTTTGAGCTGGTTCATTGCACTCTCACAAAAGTTTTGTTTATAACTTTTAATGTACTGCAAAAAAATATTCACGTTGAAAATTATAATGTGTATGACTATACAATAAAAGATATTTTGATATAGATAATCAACTCAATGTATTTACAGAGAGCCCAACAATTGAGATGTTATCAGGTCTAGAGCAACCTGGACAAGGTAGGTCCACTTTACTATGCCATAAAGAATTTATTGTGGCATTTTTATATAGATAATCAACTCAATGTATTTCCTGATAGCTCAACAATTGGTATGTTAGTTGTCGATAACTATATGATTCTATCTTATGTATACATGCAGGCAATGCCTATTCTGCTGATTTGGATCTGGCTATTGAGAATGGTCACACAATTAAGGTTATGTGGAGCACATTATGCATTTCTGGTCCATCTGGCAGTGGAAAATCCTCACTCATTGAATTACTGCTTGGTAAAGAGCCTTTACTTACACACACCAGCACTTCCGTATTGGGAGCTATAGAATCACGTGGTTTTACGCTTCTTTTAATAACTGATGACATCAACTGCACATGGGAAGAAATTCAGGATATTAAAGGATTGCTTTGTGAGGCACTTAGAAGTGGTGCAATAACTCCTCTCCCAAATGGAGAGGATAGATTTGACTTTTCTTTTGAAGCTTTGCCACATTCATTTTCCTATGCTTGTTATAATGAAGTATTGAGTAAAGCAATCACTTCCCCTGTCAGCCCAATAGTTGAGGATATGAGGTGTTTGTTGCAAAAACAAAGTGTCAGTCATTTTGTCAATGCTCCTCCTACTTATCATTTTGTCTCTATAATTGATACTGGAGGACACGAAGCTTTCTTTGATATTATTCCTGCTCTTCACTGTTATGGTTCAGCCAACATTGTCATTCACAAACTTGATGAGAAGTTAAGCTCAAAAGTATTCAGTTTTTATTGTCTTGAAGATGAAATAATTGGAGAAATTGAAGAGAGACAACTGACTAACCAGCAATACCTAGTTTCATCCATCCGTTCTTCGACATCTATCAACCCACCCCAAATAAGTGGGTTCAAGACTCAACTCCACAAGTTTCAGTCTCAAATAATTGTTGGCACATTTTCTGCTGAAATTAATCAAATTGAATCTTTGATAGCCAAAAATAGTATATTAAGAGCAAATACAATCAATTGTGAACACCATATATCTCTTAATGGTAAAAATCTCCTTTTTCCAATAAATGCAACAGCAAGAGATGATTATCACTCACAAATTGCTACTGAAATTCGAAAACACGTTTGTGACTCATACATAGAAGCAGACGTTCCTTTAAAGTGGTTTTTATTTCTGTTACATTTGCAAGAGCTTTGTATTGGTCTGTGCATAGCAAGAAAAGCAGATTGCATTGAAATTGGGTCATTATTACAAATGACTGAGAATGAAGTTGAAGCAGCTCTGTTGTACTTTCGTGACGTCAAAATGATCCTTTACTGGCCTTATGCTCTTCCTCAGATTGTATTTCTACAGCCACAGTATCTTTACGACAAGATTACACAGTTAGTACTAGCATCTTTCCTTAATAGTCACAAACACTTCGAAAACAAAGGAATCAAGCTACATTTAGACATACTTGCTGAGTATCAAGACAAAGGAATTTTCTCACTTGAACTTTTGCATAGCATTTGTGAGCCATTTAATAATGAAGACTTTACAGCAATGGAACTTCTTCAGTTGCTTAAAAATCTTGTTATTATAGTAGAAATACCTCATCTCGATGGTGATGACATGCATTTTTTCCCAAGTATCCTCCCAATATTGTCTACTGACAGTGATGAGTTTGAAACTCTTCAAAAGGAGTATACAGAAGAACTTGAACCTCTTATTCTCTCATGGCCTACTCGTATAAACCCTCAAGGTCTCTTCCCTGCTCTTATTGTTAAGCTTCTCAATGACTCTCAACCTCACCTATTTAATTTAAAGCCGGAATGTCGGCAATATCGTAATGCAATACAACTTGAATGTGTTGCCTATCGTGGATCAGTACTACTGGTTGACACTGTGTATAATGTAGAAGTTTTCTATGACAGTGGACGACGAAGCAAGTTTGACAAGTGGATAAGTTCTCATGTCAGAGAGTCTATCTTTGACGAAGTCAGAAGCATAGTTAGCCAGTTTCATTATGATGATAGACTTGCTAATCCTGTGAAAAAATTTGTATGTTTAAAACACAATGAATATACCAAGCATTATTGCATAATAACAAAGAACAACAGACTTTCATGTGAGCGGGATAAGTCAGTAATGGAAATTTCCCAATTTAATCAAAATCCTTGGCTACAGAAAATAAGTAAGCACTAATTTCAAAAATGATTATAGTAGTTAACATTTTATTAAATTGGATTTACAGTAGTTTTTTTTTCTTCATTAGACTTGGATATTACTGATTTAAATTACCCTCTTCACCTCCTGAAAGAATTTACTATACATTGGAATCGTCTTGGGCTTGCATTAGGATTAACACAACAAACACTAGATATTATTGACCATGACCACCCAAGCCGCTCTGAGGAGTGTTTTAGAATATGTTTGCAGAAATGGCTAGAAAAATCTGATAATGTTCACATTGTTACGTGGGTTTCACTAGCTGATGCACTTTTTCCATTTAATGATAACACAAATTGGGTTAATCAACTTTAGTAACATTGTAAAATATTATGACAGTTGTTAAGTTTGGTATTCATACTTTACCATACCTGCACATTATTATTATTATTATGCATTGCTATTATTATTATTATTATTATTATTATTATTATTATTATTATTATTATTATGAAAGTACAATAATTAGAATTAAAGCAGGTTACACTTAGATGTAAAAAAATATAGAATTTAAGGTGGAAAGGAAAGTTAGAATAATAATTATTAGGATATTTGAGTGGGTTAGGACATGATGAAGTCAAGGGGCAAACCATCAGAGATGTTTACTGACCGCCAATTAGTACAAGAGCCTCTGAGACAGAGGATGGTGGCCCGAATGATGGCAAACAATAACCTCATACAAATCCAGTTTATAGTGGTACTATAGTCTCTGTGCCAAGTGAGAGAACGACTGTCTGCAAGACGCTGAATAAATTTTGTGCACTCTTTACCCATTAAACCATCCACTGATACACAAAGAGGAGCGAATAGTGTCCTTCTTTCCTCACAAGCATGCAGCACTGTACTTCCTCTTCTTCTCTTTCTCAGCTGCTGTGAGTACTGCAGGAGGAGTTTGACTATTTTATTATTACTTTTATTATTGTTATGTGTGAAGTGTAGATCCATAACTTAATTATAAAACCAATAATTTTCTAAAATTATAGTTGCGCTTTGGAATTGAACCAGCCATTCTTAGTCATCATTACCATCATTATGCTATTGAACAAAATTATTCTATTTGGGCCAGATGATAAGAGGATTTGAAACTTCTATTTGTTTTGTACTCTTGTCCTTAGAAATTATTTTGAAAGTAAAAAAGAAGCATAATTATGAATAACTTTGAAACAGCCCAGTACATGTACAAACAACTCATGCACGCAAGTGAAAATGAATCTAACCACACAATCCCAGTGAGAGTAACTATAGAGTTACAATTGTATATCATGAGTTGTTAGTGATGTATCTATTCAGTTGGACACTTGTCCTGTAAGATGATTCGGATATTACTTCTATTGCTGTTATCTATTGTGGGATCAAGAGTACATGGGCTGAGCTTGTAGTCAGTGCCAATGGTACTAACAGTCCTGAGTGCTTCCATGACTACAAACCATGTAAGACACTAGAGTATATTGCAAAGAACTTGAAAGCAAAAAATATATATTTCCATTTCTCTTGATTCACCTGACCTTGATACTTCCAGTGTTGCACTCTTTGATGGTTGGACTAATCTCACAATACAAGGACAGGGGGCTACAATGAACTGTACTGTTGGTGAGCATGATACTAACTCAACAGGATTGTACTTCAATAACAGTCAAAGTATTTCATTGCACAATTTGACCATAATGCATTGCTCCATTGAAGATAGTTTTAGCAATATCAATAGCAGTGAACTAAAGTTTCGTAGTGGTTTAATAATTAAGAATACTTCCTATGTACTCATCAATCATGTAGTT